TCATGATCTAGTGGTTGTCAGGGGGTAGGATCAGTACTTAAAACATGAAGAAAAGTGGTGAGATTCAGAGTGCAATTTCCTCTGTCATTTGCAATTTTGAAAATTGCACAGAAAGAAGAGATTGCATCTTCCCCTTTCTTTATTTTTCTTTCCTGAAGATTAAAGCTAAGACTATTTCCCTTTTTAATCACTAATGTAAAAGTACACTAGTAAATTATGTTCAGTCACTAAAGATTTTAAACTTCTTGCCTCCTCCTCTCCTACTGTGTGAAACCATAGACATAGTTCTCAGAGAACAGAACAGTGTATTCATATTGATTCTGGGAATTAAAGTAGTACCAATGGCAATTACTCTCTTTTCTTTACTTGCATGCTTATCTCATCCACCTTGAAAGTAATAACTTGGGTTCCAGAAAAGATCACCTCTTTTCTATCTCACCACTTTAAAAGGTTGTTGTGGGTAGGTCCGAGTAACAGGATTCCTGTGTCACACTGTTGAACTGAATTATAGATTTGAATTTAGACACCCTTCCTGCAGCTGTCATTGTTGCTTTATAAGAAGTTTGAGTTTTGGACAGTGGTTCTCTAACTTTGCTGCATAGACTCCAGTGTTCTTTAAAAAACTCTGATGCCTGGCTTCCATCTCCAGGTAGATTAATTTAGTTGGTACTGTGTGGGACTTCGCACTAGGATTTAAAACACACACACACACAAACAAACAAACAAAAAAACACAACTCTAGGTGATTTTAATATGAAGCATTCCCTTGGAAGAGACAGAAATGTATCCTTTTAGAAATCTTACTGGGGGCTGGGGATGTGGCTCAAGTGGTAGCGCGCTCGCCTGGCATGCGTGCTGCCTGGGTTCAATTCTCAGCACCACATACAAACAAAGATGTTGTGTCCGCCGATAACTAAAAAATAAATATTAAAATTCTTTCTCTCTCTCCCTCTCTTACTCTCTCTTAAAAAAAAAAAAAAAGAGGGCTGGGGATGTGGCTCAAGTGGTAGCGCGCTCGCCTGGCATGCGTGCGGCCCGGGTTCGATCCTCAGCACCACATACCAACAAAGATGTTGTGTCCGCCGAGAACTAAAAAATAAACATTAAAAATTCTCTCTCTCTNATTAAAAATTCTCTCTCTCTCTCTCTCCTCTCTCACTCTCTCTTAAAAAAAAAAAAAAAAAAAGAAATCTTACCTCTGTTAGTTTGATAAAATAGTTTTCAGGCAGCCTTGGGTTGCTTTAGGGAATGCATAGGGTCCTTTGAGCTGCTCAGCTCTTTGTCAGGTATAAATGGGCTCCCAGCCACCTTTTTATTTTTAGCCCCATTTTTGTGGTGAGGATAGAACCCACCACTCCCATATGATAAGCAAGGCTCTACCCCTGAGCTACAGCCCTAGCTCTCAGGCCATCTTTTCACTTGGAGACAGCTCCATGATATTCTGTCTTCCTTGGTAGTCTTTTTGGAATTCCCTAATGTGAGTGAGATTAAGTGCTCCCAACTTCTCAGATCTTTGCTAGTCCCAAAGACAAAACCTTTTCTTTTTTTTTTTTTTTTTAAAGAGAGAGTGAGAGAAGGGAGAGAGAGAGAGAGAGAGAGAGAGAGAATTTTTAATGTTTTATTTTTTAGTTCTCGTCGGACACAACATCTTTGTTGGTATGTGGTGCTGAGGATCGAACCCGGGCCGCACGCATGCCAGACGAGCGCGCTACCGCTTGAGCCACATCCCCAGCCCCAAGACAAAACCTTTTCATGTTTAATATTTTACTTTTCACTGTAAAAATTATATAATAAACATTAGCAAGTTGCAAAACATTAAATTCCTTACCATGATAGTCCCTGTAAAAATTCCTGACTTTCCCTGAGATGAGCATCTGCACTGCTTTCATTTTGTTCAGGGCAGTGCTGAGCATTCACAGTCCATACAGAGTCCAGGCTGCTAAAGCCTTTCAATCATGAAAGCCTCATTTCTAAGTGTGATTGTACAGTGATATAGAGCAATAAGGATCTCTTTATCTAAAGTATGCAACTGAGATCTTTGGCCCCTTCTATTGAGAATCAGTAAGTTCAAACTAGTTCCCAGAGACTTGTTCCTTGGGACTTATTCTTTTGTGGTCATAAGTTCATCAGTTGTTCCTCTGCCCTGTCTAGTACCTATGTTTGTTGTTGGTTCTACTATTTACTCTTTAAGACAGTACACAGTGGTTAGAAGCTTGACATTCTTAAGTTTGTTCCCACTTGGAAAGTTTTACCTATTATAGGTGAGGCTCCCTGGGTTTGACTATCCTTTTCCCTACTGCATCTCCAAACGTGGCTTACCGAATCTCCTTTTATCTTCCCAATGCTATTGTAGTCTTGGTATTTTCTACTTTAATGAGTCTTTGGAAAACCTATGAGTTCTAATGGGGCTAGACTTTCTATAAAGGAAAGAACAAACTCTGAATGGATATATAGATTCTAAACTTTTGGACCTTTAGTTTTTACCAAGTTAAGGCAACTAAAGTCAGTTATCCCCGACAAAAATCTTAGGCAGGTTAATCTCTGTAAGCCTTAATTTGATCATCTTTAAGGGGAGAATAATAATACATACTTCAAGATATATAGGAGGGATATATTGAAGGAAGAATAATGTTAATATGTAAAACATTTATTTAATTTTGCTAATAAAACAGTTTAATAATCCAATGTTGATTTAATAGTATTATTTTTATAAGATATAAAGGAATTTATTCTGTGCATGGTAGCTAAAGAAATAAGTAGAAGAAACTTTGAAAAGGACTTAATTCCTAATTTTTAATGTAGTTTTTATTTGACTACAGCAATTATTATTATACTAATGGTATATCATGTTGTAGTGAGGTTTGGCAGGATGGTATACTTCAACAAAAAACAGATGGCTGTTGTTCAAACCTTGGAGCCCCAGAGTTTAGTAAAGATATATCAGAGACTATCTGGGGGGTGGCCTGGTGGACTGAGTGGGAGTTTTCTGAGCAGGACAGGTGAATCATCAGGGCAGAGAATTCCCATCTTATACATGCTTTAGCACACATCTAATAGTGAAGTTCTTATTGTTTTTAGGCTGGAAATTGAACCCAGGGTTACTCTACCACTAAGCCACATCCCTAGCCCTTTAAATTTTTATTTTTATTTTTATTTATTTTTTTAATTTTGAGACAGGGTCTTGCTAAGTTGCCAGGTAACTCTGAGTTACCTAGGTTGGCCTCCAATTTGTAATCTTCCTGCCTTATATATTCAAATTGATGGGATTATAGTGTGCCACTGTGCCCAACTGAGAAGTTTTGACTGTGTGTGTGTATGTATATACATATATATATATATTTTGATATTTTGTATACATTTTAAAATACCTTATTTTTAAAAAGTTTGAAATCATGTGCTCTAGGAAGCAAATTTCCAGAGTAGAACTGTAGTATCCCTGATCTCCAGTCTATGTGCTGCTCAGTAAATATTTTCTGAATGAAAGTGATGGAATACTCTGTAAAGTTACCTTTATAATGCATAGTGTTCATTTTTAGTCTTATCCTCAAACTAGGTTTTATTCAATTATGTGATCATTCCCTAGTAAGCAGATTAAAATTGGGATGTTTTGTTACAGGAAGTTAAAAAGTTTTTAAAGATTATTTTTAGTTAGCTGTGAAATATCCTTGTGAAATGCACTCCAGCCATTTGGTGTAATCAAATCTTTTCTTCACTGGACACTTTGGTGATACATATATGTCATTATTCTCCAGGTCTTTCTAGATTTAATGATGGTTACAATCTTTCTCTAAAAAAAAAAAAAAAAAAAAAAAGTTGAAGTATAGTACATAGCGTGTAGATCAATTGCCTGGGTTCAATTTCTAGCAACACACACAATATACACACATACGCACACACAGTTGATATATAATATTCTAATTTTTTCCTTAAATTATACAAATACATACATAAATGCATACCTTTGTCATTTAAATTGTGGAATTGTAAGGGCGCAGCCGGAGGATCTCAAGTTCAAGGCCAGGCTGGGAAATTAGCAAAACCCTTAAAAAGGACTGTGGATGTAGCTTAGTGGTAGAGTGCTTACCTAGTATGTGCAAGGCCCTGGGTTCAATCTCCAGTACTGCACCATAAATAAAATATAAAATAAATTGTAAGCCAGGAAATATGGGAAAATATTCTAACTTGTTTTAGCATTTGCCACACCTTTTTTTTGGGGGGGGGTACTGGGGGTTGAACTCAGGGGCACTCAACCACTAAGCCACATCCTCAGCCCTATTTTGTATTTTATTTAGAGACAGGGTCACACTGAGTTGCTTAGCGCCTTGCTTTTGCTGAGGCTGGCTTTGAACTCGTGATTCTCCTTCCTCAGACTCCCTCAGCTGGGATTATAGGCGTGTGCCACCGTGCCTGGCCTGTCATACTTTTATAAGATATAAACTAAGAAATCATAACTTATTTTTCATCTTAGGTTGGATACTTCCTAGGGTTATCTCCTTCCCATTAGTTATATCTGCTAGTGACATTTTTAAATGTTAGCACACTTATGGAAATTCTTGTTAGACAGGCATTTTGATTTTAAATTTCTTTTATCTTATTTCTAATTTTTATTTGGCATTTACTTGTGTTTTTTTTTTAAATTTATTACTTTTAAAAATAACGAGAAATAGCCTTTAGGTATTAGTTTTTGAACAGATTTAGATCTCTTATAAGTCTTACTGTATGTCCTTGGTTTTAGTTAGAAATGAGAAGAAACCATTCAAAGATTTTTTGTAATCATTGGTTGCATTTTTTCGGATATTTTCAATGAATTGATATTTATTTTTATTTAAATTTTGATAAGATATAAAATGAGACTGATGAAAGACCACAAATCTTACTTAGTAGGGAGAAAGTTGTCAAGGAAAAAGATATTCTTCCAGATCAAAACTAGAGCATCTCTTTATCATTGTTTATTTTGTTGCTGATACAGACTAAGACTAATTGTCTTTTTTTCTTCTCAGTTTTACAGAGTTAATATAAGAGTGGAGGCAACTTTGCTGAAGATGAAGATTATACCATATTAGAAGAGTTTTTTTCTTTCAAAAGTCTTGATTGTTTGGAGGCTTATCTCCAGTTACTGCTTTTAAATCAAGTCTGTTTGCTTCATCAGAAATGTTTTTTACAATCTCAAGAAAAAATATGTCTCAGAAATTGAGTTTACTGTTGCTTGTATTTGGACTCATTTGGGGATTGATGTTATTACATTATACTTTTCAACAACCAAGACATCAAAGCAGTGTCAAGTTACGTGAACAAATACTAGATTTAAGCAAAAGATACGTTAAAGCTCTAGCAGAGGAAAATAAGAACACAGTGGATGTTGAGAATGGTGCTTCTATGGCAGGATATGGTAAGATAACCACAGAATATTTCTGGTTTTCTCTATCCCCATTTAAAGATAGTCATGGAAATAGAACTTATTATTTCATGTATAAGTCTTTTTAAAAAAATTTATTTATTTATTTATTTATTTATTTATTTATTTATTTATTTATTTATGTATTTTTATATGGTGCTGAGGATCAAACCCAGTGCCTCGCATGGTAGGCAAGCACTCTACTACTGAGCCCCAGCTCCTGTCCCCATGTATAAGTCCTTACAAAGTAACTGTTTTTTGACTGTTTATTAAAATTGTTTTCAGATGTACTGAAAAGTAGAGATATATTCACCCAGATTTGATAGTTATTAACAGTTTGCAACATTTGTTTTGAAAAATATTAAAAGTACATTATAGGGCTGGGCCATAGCTTAGTAGTTGAACACTTGCCTTGCATGTGTGAGGGTCTGGGTTCAGTCCTTAGCACCACATAAAAATATACAAAAAATACATTATAGAAATTGTGACATTTAACCACTAGGTTTGTACCTCTTTAAAAATATATATGTGGGGCTGGGGATGTGGCTCAAGCGGTAGCGNCCCAGCAATATTAAGCTATGCTCAACAGCAAGCATGTTTGATCGAGGAAATTAAAAAACACTAATTCAGGGGCTGGGGATGTGGCTCAAGCGGTAGCGCGCTTGCCTGGCATGCGTGCGGCCCGGGTTCGATCGATCCTCAGCACCACATACCAACAAACATGTTGTGTCCGCCGAAAACTAAAAAATAAATATTAAAATTCTCTCTCTCTCTCTCTCTCTCTCTCTCTCTCTCTCTCTCTCCTCTCTCACTCTCTCAAAAAAAATATATATATGTGTAAAAATGTTTGTTTGTATATGTAAATGTATATATTATTTATTTTTTGCCATACTTGAGATCGAACCCAAGGACTCTATACCACTGAACTACATCCCTAGCCATTTTTTTATATTGAGACAGGGATTCATCAGGTTGTACAGGTTGGCCCAGAACTTGTGATACTGCTAGCTCAGGATCCCGAGTAACTGGGATTATAGGTGTGTGCCACCCCCAGGTTTTATTTATGTGTGTGTGACATACATATATATATGTATTTTTAAAATCACCTATTTAAATTATTTTGAATGTCCCAATTTTTATATAAATCATCAGTTGTGTAGAGTTTAAAGTTTATTCATCCCTAAGACACAGGATTTACATTGTTTATTGCCTGGGTTTGTTGTTTACTATCCTGGATTTGTGCTATATTTAAAGCTCCTTATGCATGCCATGTTCTCTTTCTATGGGGTCAGGGGTGCTAGTGGGGAGGAGAAGAAAGAGAAGAATAGAGAGCAAACAGAATGGTTCTGATACACTATGTATGTACATGAGTTTGTGGACATTTTCAGTGTTTAATTATAAGTTACACTGGCATGTATTTCAAGAATCAAAATGTGAAAAAAAAAAAGAATCAAAATGTGTTGATTCTTATAATGAAAAAGGGCAGTTTTTCCCATTCTCAGCAGTCCTCAGATTTCCTCTTCCTTGAAGCCACCCATTAAATTTTTTTTCATTTATTTGGGGACCACCTCTATATCCAAATAACATGATGTATGAACCACTTCTTGATTTTTTCAGTTATAGGCATTGTTAACTTTCTACCATATAGGGTGAAGATTTAGCTTTCTTTTTCATCCCAAAATACATTCTACCCATCCCAAGGTTGCCTTCCCTGACACATGTCTTTTTCCTCCTGATATTTTACCTTCATAATTTTGGTTAGAATAATACTCACTGTTTGCACTATGACTATTAGTGATATTCATTACTGAGCCATGTGGTAGATTATCATATGTTTCCTTTCATGTAAAACTTAATTTTCTTCCTAGAAGTAATAATTACAGGTTTTTGTTTCTTTGCCTATTTTTATATTCCATCTCCCCGGAGTTACTTAAATCTCTTCCTGATGTATTCTGACTCATTAGGTATTCCATTACTTTCTTTATTTTGAAGGAATCTTTCCTGGCCAGGTATGGTGATACATACCTGTAGTCCCAGGTACTCAGGAGGCAGACAGAGCAGGATTGCAGATTTGAGGCCAGTTTGGTAACTGAGACCCTGTCTCAGAATAAAAAAAAAAGGGTTGGGGATATAATTCAGTGGCATTGTAGCCCCTAATTCAATCTCCAATACTGCCAAAACAAGAGAAGTCTTTCCTGGAGTTTTCTGATCAGCTCAGCTCTGGTCTGAACTGCTTGCTCTCTAGGCTTGAAGCATGAATTGTTCTAAGATCTCACTTGGTCATCATTCTGTATATTCTCTTTACTCCTCTCTTAATGTTGTATCCCCTATTTTCTAGAATTCTATAGGGTCTTCCTGATTTTAGGTTATCCCCTTTCTTGAGAAAGGTACAAGGGAGATAAAGTTTTGAGTTCCTTGTATATCTGGGAAGGTCTTTCCCCCCTGCAACCTTCATGCTTAATTGAAAATTTGGCTGGGTATAGAATACTAGGCTGAAAATAATTTTCCTTAAGATTATAAAGACTATTCTGTTTTGTGTTTTTCCATCCCATCTTCCATTTTTAAGAATTGAATCCTGTTCTTATTCTTCAGCCTTTATATATGACTTATTTTTTGAAGCTTACATTTTTAAAAAATATTTTTAATTGTAGATGGATGAAATACCTTTATTTTGTTTATTTTTTTTGTGATGCTGAGGATTGAGCCCAGTGCTTCACATGTGCTAGGCAAGCACTCTACCAATGAGCTACAACTCCAGCCCTGTAGCTTACTTTTTTGAAAGTAAGGTTTTTGTTGCATACTGTTCTGAAATTTCTCAATTATCTGTCTGGATGTGGGTATCTTTGTATATATCTTGGGACCTCAGTTTATATTTTAAAATCTGCAATTTATGTCATTTAATTCCAAGATATTTCTTAAATTATTTATTTGATTTAAAAAAAATATTCTAGAATTCTGTTATTTAGCATTTGGGCTCCCTGAACTTGTCCTCTAATTTTCCGTTTTTATTTTTGGTGCTGTACTTGGAATTTAACCCAGGGATGCTCTAGAACTGAGCTCTATCATCCAAGCCCCTTTTAATTTCTATTTTACTTTATTGTTTTGAAGGTGACTAGGATTGAACCCAGGGCCTTACACATGCTAGATAAATGTTCTGCCATTGAGTTACATCCCCAGCACCTTTATTCTTTTTCTTCTATTTATCCGTTTGCTTTATTTATTTTTATGTGTTTTTTTCGCACCTGAGATTGAACCCAGGGGTGTTTAGCCACTGGTGACATCCCCATCCCTTTTTTATATTTTATTTAGAGACGGGGTCTTTCGAGTTGCTGAGGTTGGCTTTGAATTGGTGGTCCTCCTGCCTCAGCCTCCCAAGCTCTGGGATTACAGACATGCATGACTGCGCAGCCCTTTTGCTTTATTTTTGAGAGATTTATTTTCTAGATCTTCATGGAGCTTTATTTTCAATTTCTAAGAGCTCTTTTTTTTTTTTCCCCCTCTCTGAGATTATTAGTGGCAGCTTTTCTGGAGTGCTTTTGTGTTTCTTCCAAATGTCTGATGATCCCTTTGACAATAATTAATCCTTTAAGTCCCAAGTGTTCAATTCTGTTAGTGTTTCAGCAAAATTGACACAGGTGCATTAACATAGGTTATAAGTCATAATCTAGAGTTTATATTTTATGTTAATGTTATAATTTTTAATAATAAAATTATATGGTTGTGTAGTGTTTACATATTTTTTGAGGTTTAAAATTTTTTTTATTTGTTATAATTAGTTATACCATTGTATATATTTATTTAGTAAGGTTTTGCAGTTTTTTTTTTTTTGTGTGTGTGTGTGTGTGTGTGCATGTGTGTGTGTGTGTTGCTGGGAATTGAACCTAGGGCTTCCTGCATGCTAGGCAAGCACTCTACCACTGAGTTACATCCCCAGCCCTATTTAAATTTTTATAGGTGTTCCATTTCTGGGACAATGGGACAAAATCGATTAAGAATGGGATATTAAAAAGTTGATGGAAATACTGAATTGTTGGGTGGTATTCACTTTAAGATAATCTGGAGGGAATATTTCTTTAGTTATAGCTTTAATATTTTTTTTTTAAATATTTATTTATTAGTTATTGGCGGACACAACATCTTTGTTTGTATGTGGTGCTGGAGGATCGAACCCGGGCCGCACGCATGCCAGGCGAGCTCGCTACCGCTTGAGCCACATCCCCAGCCCCAAGTTATAGCTTTAATATTTAAATGACTTCTGATACCAACTACCTGGAGTTAGCCAAATTTCACAGGTTAAGGGCACAGTCCTCTATATAACTGCCCTCACTTTAGAAACCAGCCACAAGGCTGAATATCCCCAAGTCACCCTTACTCCTGACCATCTCACTACAAATTCAGGCTTTACGGTTCCCTCATGTTTGATAGTTTGAAAGAACCACTCACAGAACTCAATTAAGTTACTGTGCTGCTTATAACAGTGTTATTATGCAAAAGGATACAAACCAAACCAGCCAAAGGGAGATACACATGGGACAAGGTTTGGGAGGACTCCAGATACAGTTTCTATTGACTTATCTTCATGGAGTCAGTACACATAACCCACCTGGCACATCAAGGCATATTAGGGTGTAATAACATGCATACTATTATTCAAATATGGTGGCGCACATCTGTAATCCCAGGCCCCTGAAAAACTGAGGCAGGAGGATTGCAAGTTCTAGGCCAGTCTTGGCAACTTAAGTGAGACCCTGTCTCAAAAAATAGAGGGCTGGGATATAGTTCACTGGTGGAATGTTCCTGTGTCAGTCTCCATCCTGGAAAAATTGCAGAAATATTACTGACTAGGGAAGCTTGCTCAAACTTACAGGTGCAAGGTTTTTATTGGGGTTTTGTTGTATAGGTATGATTGATTGAATCATTGGTCACGTGGGTGAATTCAGTCTCTAACATTTCTTCGTTCCTGGAGGTCATCTGAAATCCCCAATCCTTTAATC